CTCTCTCTCTCTCTCTCTCTCTCCTGCTGTTATGCCTTTCTCTTTCTCTCTTTCATCCTCTCTCGGTCTCTCTGTCTCTCTGTCTCTCTATCTCTGTCTCTGTCTCTGTCTCTCTCTTTGTTTCTGTGGACAAGTTGGAACTACCAAGTGTATTTCATCGAGGTCGAAAGGAGTGACAATTGATTACCAAGCGTGATGATTCGAGACGGCAAGCCTTGCCCATATGAGAGCGCGCTCCAGGGAATGTGTTGATGTTAATCCTTGAGGCTGTGCCCACGTCGCTAACGGCACTGGCCGATGGAAATGAGGTTGGACTGAGAGTCTGAGGGAGAAAAAAAAAAAATAGGTGTACTTGATGTGAAGTCGATTGTGAGATGGCCAAACAGCCACACTGGGCAGCGGAGCAGCACGCCAAGAATCATGAGAGATTGTGTGACCGGGAAACAGACGACTCACGATCATGTCAGGAACACGCAGCTATTGGATATCACACGGGCTGCCGCCTTCTTCAAACGAAACTGCTCGAAGTGCATGCTTTATCGGCGTAGCAACGCAAACGACACAGGGAGCATCGTCAAGAAGTCGATGCACGAGTGCCAGCGGTCGGAGCTCAACACCTCTTCGCACGTAGATGATCGAGCCAGAATCACCACCTTGAGCAACACGCTCCATGGCACCTTGACCCGGATCCAGGGTGAAAAAGTACTGGTTTGCGTAGAGAGGCTCACCGGCTGGTACATTCTCGCTCAATTCGCCAACATCACGGACGTGTGTTGGACCGGGCACGACCTCTCGAACGCAGCCAATGCCAGCGAGCAGTGTGATCGGTACGCCAAAGCCAACAGGGCCCGACGTGCGACCAAATAGCACAATTGAACTTCCTTCTTCGAATACGGAATCCAAGGTGGCAGGCTCGTTGATCACGCGTAGCTACCGACCAATCACATCAGACCCCACTCCCTGCTCGCGCAGGAGAGGGCAGTCGTCAGTTTCAATTTCAGGTATGGAAAAAAGCCGTCCTCATCCGTCAGAGCCCGTTCGGGATCCTCGAGGCGGAGCAACGCCACGTCCACGGATGTGGGCGGTTGCAACCGTTTGCCAAGCCCCGCTTGTTCACCGGCTATCCATTGCAGATCTGTGAACTTGGCAACTTGGGAAAATAATGTGAATCGATCGGTGACAGAAGGAACAGTGGCAGGTGCACCCACCACCCGATCTTCAGCGCTCTCGAACAACACGTGATCGCAAGTGAGTGCGTACACGCCGCCGTTTGGTCCACGGAAAAGACCGCCAATTGTGCCTGGCCGGCTTTCACCTCGCTTTCCGACCGACGACCCGGGGTACACTTGAGCCCTCCAGTCTTCATCCAGCCCGCGGTACCGAGCCCAATCTGAAGGACCACTTGCCTTTCGCACACTGCCAGTCCGCACCTCCACAGGCAAGCCACACAAGCGCTTGGGCAGACAGGCCTCGCCCTCTGGGCACAGGCCTTTGCACCATACATAAACAACAGTGACGAGTTCGGGCGGTATGTCGTCTCGCACGCGTACACCAGGCCGCACGCATGTCACCCACGAGTGCTCGTACATGCATTGCTGCACCTCGGGGAGGTTCCACTCCCTCGAGGCCTCGGCGGCCTGCTCGGGAGTCATGATGCCAAGGCAGCTTGTGGACATTTCCGACGGCTGTTCAGGAAGCACATGAAGGGGAAGCCGGCACAACTCGCTGGAAGCACGCCAAATCGCATATCCTGCCTCAACCTGTGCAAGGCTGAGGATGGGCACAACACAGAGTGCCACCGAACGACCTTTGTCCAGGTCGCGTGCTAAACGCACAATTGGATCTGGCAGCTTTGCAGCGCCGCCATTATTACGAAGCCTCAGCCACGGGAAGCGATCGACCGGCAAACCTGTATGTTCTGGCTCAATAAAAACCCCGGATTGATCGCGAAGAGCCATGCGAAGGCGACGATGCAGCGATGCCCTCGGGGCTGAGGTGTCGGTAGTTTTGGCCAATGCGTCTTGGACATGCAAATTGGCAGCCTTTACCAGCTTCGATGGCTGGGTCACCAACGCTTTTTTTTCAACGTTTCTCTTGATTTGCTTGGCCTCCTCCAGAGCCTTGTAAGTACCAGTTGTGCTGGGGTGCTTCTCTCCAAGCGTTGCAACTCGAATCTCCAAGACCTTGCTGTAGTACTCGAAGGCACGCTCATACTGGCCTTGACTATAGTACGCGTTGGCCATGTTGTGGTAATGTTGTCGCGGTGCTTGGATGCTGTTCACCCAGCGCGGCGAGCTGAATCTCCAGGGCTTTGCCACAGTACTCGAGGGCACGCTCGCACTGGCCCTGGCTCATGCACACGTTGCCCAGGTTGTGGTAGGTGGCCGCCATATCAGGATGCTTATCTCCAAGCGTTGCAACTCGAATCTCCAAGACCTTGCTGTAGTACTCGAGGGCACGCTCGTATTGGCCTTGGCTATAGTACGCGTTGCCCATGTTGTGATAAGTTGTTGCGGTGCTTGGATGTTGCTCACCCAGCGCGGCGAGCTGAATCTCCAGGGCTTTGCCACAGTACTCGAGGGCACGCTCGCACTGGCCCTGGCTCATGCACACGTTGGCCAGGTTGTGGTAGGTGGCCGCCATATCAGGATGCTTATCTCCAAGCGTTGCCACCTGGACCTCCAAGACCTTGCTGTAGTACTCGAGGGCACGCTCATACTGGCCTTGGCTATAGTACGCGTTGCCCATGTTGTGGTAGGTTGTCGCCGTGTCAGGATGCTTATCTCCAAGCGTTGCAACTCGAATCTCCAAGACCTTGTTGTAGTACTTGAGGGCACGCTCATACTGGCCTTGGCTGTAGTACGCGTTGCCCATGTTGTGATAGGTTGTTGCGGTGCTTGGATGTTGCTCACCCGGCGCGGCGAGCTGAATCTCCAGGGCTTTGTCACAGTACTCGAGGGCACGCTCGCACTGGCTTTGGCTATGGGACACCAGATTGGAATCTGAAAGAGGTGGGCAGAGCAGGTCAGCTGGGCATGAAGAGGTGGCGCGAGTGGGGAGGGGCAGGGCCCACAGTGGCCCGTACCGGCAACTGGAGTCGTCAAGTCCACCAGAGATTTTCTCTGACGCTGCCTCTCACCTGTGGAGTCATCGCCCCCCTGCCCTTGGCGGCTGGAACATCCCTCCATCGTGCTGCTGCAGCTGATTGAAGCAAAACTCTCGGACCGGAAAATGTGTTCTAACTCATACAAGCAGCGTCATCGGTCCGAAGAGTTACACACGTTTCATTTCAAACGAAGAAATGCTTTCGGTGTCATTTTGTACTTCCCAAACCAATTCCATCGGTTGCTGTTGCATGCAGGCTCAGTCTCCCAAGGCACAGCCGAGCTCATTGCAAAAGCTAGCGCACCATGGCACCAAACACAAAGAACGCCAAGAAGATGAGCAAGAACAAGAGCCAAGCGACGGTTTTGCAAAAAGGGACGAACGAAACCGGAAAGAGTACGTTCTTAGTCGGCGCTCACCAAGCTCCTCGACCAAAATCAGAATCATGAGGAGGCAGACGCGAGCCAGGTTGGCGGCTCGGAAGGAAAAGACGAACAAGAACCTCAAAAGACGGCGAGAATCTCGGGTACGCACAAGACAGCGGTCGCCCGGCCCAAGCGGATGTACGAAGCCAAAGACGAGAGGTCCTTGGCGAATCATTACGGGGGGACCCAAGCCGGAGGGCACATGTGATGGATGTGGCCACGTGGTGAGAGCTACCGGAACGAGTGAGTGGCGCACCTCCAGCACGGTCTCAACACGCAAGTCATGGAGGCGTGGCACAAGCTGTCGCCAAAGCGGTTTTCCGAGTGGTGCGAGATGACGGGGAGCGTTACGTCGCTCCTGAGGACAGTGACAGGAGCGCAGACAGAGTATCGCAAGCCATCATGCAATGCATATGGCGGAGCGGATCGGGACGTGGTCCCAGGCACAAATGGCGTCGGTGGGGGGGCATGCGCTAACCCCAAACACCACTTAATCTGAAGCTGCCGGGCCTGCATGGAGGTATTCTGTCTGTTATGATTTCAAGGGCCACGGCTGTGGGCGGGCCAAGTGTAGTGCTGCCGCACGTGTGGAAGTGTACAGGACGCAGCGATGCTGTCTCATCTGTACTTGCTGCTGTAGCCAAAATTCGTACGTCTTGGGGGCTCCATTTTTATTGGCCTCTGCTCCTTGCGACAGCAAATTTTTGTCGGCCAGTGCATGCCTCCCGAAACGCAATGGCTCACCGTGGTGGCGACACACCAAGAAAACCTTTCCAAGATAATGTCCCGTATCTCATCAAACAGCGATCAAATGTTTTGCTTTGAGGCTCCAAGCTCTGCTTGCACCCCTTCATCCTTGAGGGCCCCATACTGAGGGCAACCAATTTTCGCGAGTCCATGATTAATTTGTGGAAGGCCTCACCACTAGAGCAGCACTCAGATGACATCCCACCTTGTCCGGATCAGCCTGAAAGTGGCCGACGAGGAACCCGCTGATTTGCCTCTGTCAATGCCTTGATAAAACTCGAAATCAAGATTGAGATTGTCAAATTGACATTGGGCTGGAATGAATTGATGCTATTCTTGTCTCGCCCAGTCAGGCAATAAGGAGAGGTAGCACTGCTTTGGCATCGAGGGTTCAAGCCTCGAGGCGGTCTTCCAGAAACTCCGTAATCGTGTCGGTGTCCCAGCTCTCAATGTTCAGTTCCTCTGCCATCTCTCCATCAGCGTTGAAGAGCTGCAGGCGCGGCGGCGCCAGATGCTTGTGCACGTGCTTCAGGTTCTTAAACATTGATTTGCGCTCACCATCCACGAAAGCTAAGGGGCAAATGGAAGTTGCGGTGATACGTGAGCACAAGGCAGAGCAAGTCGGATCATCAAGACAGCCAAGAACCGGAGATCATGCCCAAGCAAGCAGGAGCTGGCTGGCCAGCTCGTCGTGTTATTACGTGGCCAGTTTGCGACCACGGGTGGCAACTCACGGGCAATCTGTGGGAACGCTCGCAGCTTGCAGTTGCACATTTCCAAGATGGCCCGAGGATACTTGGTGACCTGCGGTGCCACGAGGTGAATGGCCGCGTGTTCTGTCTGGCTCGAGAGGTGGACGACTCGTGCCCCTATTAAATGTCTTTACGTACCTGGCCCTGCGTCATGCCGTCATCTTGGCAGCATGCACTACAAGCCTCGCTGAGAACTTCGAGCTCAAACTTTGGCAGCAACTGTGTCTCGGCCAGCGACATGTGTATCAATCAGACACCAAACAGACATCCACCGACATTCTCCAAAGCGGGACGCAGCGATGAGGCGGCTCGAACCTGACAACTGCTACACACAAGTCCCTCCGTAAAGCCTGCCTCAGAGCACTGCACCACGCTCCAACGATTGGCGCTTGATGCGCCATTGGCACCGCTCTGTACGCCCCAGACTGAGGCCAAGAGCACCTAAACGTCACCCCACCCCGGTTTGGCCCATGAAACAACTTCGAGAAAAACAACATACACACACTCGAGGCTCACACAGCCCAGCACCTTACCAGCACCACAAGGCCAGACGCTCCCAGTGTGACCGCCATGCTCCCTTGTAACCCTTGTCGTCGGTTGACTCCGCTAAATCACCAAGTCAAGTGCTATCGCTCGCTGCTCTCCGCTGGCTGCCAAGTCAGGAGGTCACTGGGCACCAACCGTGTTGCCGCGCCTCAGAAAAGGGCTTCAAAATGAAATTGGATGACATTTCATCTTCCGACGATTTGTCTGACATATTTGGGCGGGGAAAAAGCGCCTGGTGTTGTCGACAATTCAGAAACCAAAAGTGCGTGGTGCTGCTGCTGCATTTGCACAGTGACTCCTTGTCCGGCAGCATTCGCTTTCGATGAGTTTTTGGTGGCATTTCATTCTTGACTTTGTGGCAGGGCTCGGTACATCGGCAGTGAAGATCGATGTTGCGCTCAAGCACTCGGCACCCGACGCGATCAGCGCGGATTGCTGCGATGCGTCACAACCAAGCAAAATCCTTGGCTCAGGCGCCCAAGCCTGCCACCAAGCCCAAGCCTGCCACCAAGCCCAAGCCTGCCACCAAGCCCAAGCCTGCCACCAAGCCCAAGCCTGCCACCAAGCCCAAGCCTGCCACCAAGCCCAAGTCTGTCACCAAGCCCAAGCCTGCCACCAAGCCCAAGCCTGCCACCAAGCCCAAGTCTGCAAACAAGGCCAAGCCAGCCTCCAGCCATGGGTCACCAACAAAAACACTGCAGCTTCTGTCAGCGCCACCAATCAAGGAGTGCCGCAACCTTGAAGCCGATTTGCTCCGCTACAGCACCACTCCAGCGACTGCCGGCGCTACACCACAGCCATTCCAAGACAGCGAGGAGACGTATGCTGACGGCACTCAGCGAACCTGCTGGGCATGCCACGAACCGGGCCATGTGCTCCTGTGTGATGCCTGCCACAATGTCATGCATTTGAGCTGCGCGGGCGTGCATGTGAATGAAGCACAAACCCTCAAAATCTGGAAGTGTGGAGCGTGTGATCGAGCCACCTGGCTTCAACGCCTGCAAAGCATGCAAGCAGCAACAAAGAAGCAGCCGCCGCAGCTTCCTCCTTGTTCGTCCCCAGCCGTGGACGGACGATTGGAGCCGAATCCGCACACGCCCAAACGAGCAAAGCTTGCACACAAGGTGGCTCGCAAGTTGGAACCAAGCCCAGTCAAGATCCATCTATGGCTGTCCAAGACCGACCTCTTGCCCAGCATGATTCCACCCCGTTCAGAGGAAAGTATGCAGCAGCTCAACCCCAAGCTTCATGTTGCTCTGAAGCGCTGTGGATGCTCCGTCCAGACCCTTCTACCCCAATTGCTCCAACATATTTTGATCCGGTAAGCCTAGCATGAGTACATTGTATCAGCTGCTGAAACTCTTGCTTGGTGAAGGAGCTATGTCCACACGTTGACATAACCTCGTGGCCTAGGTCACAAGGAAGCACGCAGACCCAGCCACATGACCAAGAATTGCAATTCTCTGGACTTGCATGGCAAGCGGTCTGTTTACCTTTTTGCCGACACGGGCTGCTTTGTTTTGTCTGATGATTTGCGCTCACATACTAGGTCAAAGCACCGCTAGCTCAATTAACAATCGCGAATAGGCCCTTTCGTTTTGTTTAGCAGCACCACAATCCCAGCGTGCAAGTCATTTCGTCACAGAGTCGATCCAAACCTTAATTTTCGGTGTGCACGGCTTTCTCCTTCACTTGTTACGGGAGTGCAAACAACACGACCACACTTATTCCCCCCATGCTTTTTCAGCGTGCTTGAATCGGCCTTTGCAACGCTGCCATGAGCACGAGCAGCGCACGGCACAGTTTGCACGGCTTCTGCAGAACACGACAAGAATGTGCCCTCCACAGGTTGAGGCGAACGACCTCGATGAACTGCTTCCTCTTCAACTTGGTAAGGCTTTGGCAAGATGACCAGCGCTGTGTGTGACACCAAGCTCACTGGTTATCGTAAACCCCACCTACAGTGGCCACGCACTGTCAAATGGATGGGCTTGCCCTTGCTACCCCACAGCCTGCTTCACAAATTGCCATCGATGAGCGTGCTTCCAACACCACAGGTGCTTGCTTCTCTTGCAAATGCCCAGATGCTTGAATGCTGTTAGAGGCGCAACCATCTTCTGCAAACGGGCTCACCACTTTGCTTGCGCCAGCAGACACGTCTGCCAAGCGGCGCAGCCAAGAACTCTTACTGATTGAGCTTCTCAAGCCATTGCCACTGCTCACCCAGTTGGCTCTCAGTCAGCCAAGTCCTGGCAGCACACGCTTGTTGCTCCAAACATTGTCGACCGTTACGTGTAGGTCCTATCATTCCGGCCTCGTTGTACAAGTGGCGCACTTAATCTGCGTCTCACTTCTCCCTCCATTAGACCAAGGACTGGCCGTTGAGAAAGTTCCTTCGCCTTGCTTGCAAGCTCAACTCATTAGCATCATCGATCGACTTTTGGCCGCCCTTCTGAGTGCAGGTAGCTGGCGATTGCTGTCTTCCTTGCATCTGATCATGATACGGGCCGCGTGCTCATGACTTTTGTTGAATGACGTAGAAGTCGAGCAAGGACGAGCCCCACTCAAACAGAGCATCGCCTTTTCCGGACTTTGTATGTAAAGTGCCGACTTTTTGCGCTTTTGCATATTGCCCACACTCACAACGCAGAGCCTGCCCTCGCATCGACTTTTGCTACATGCCTGCTGACTACTGCCGGGGAGGGTGTCCTCAACTGCAACGTCCTAGGCAAGATGTGTGAACATGTAACAGCTGCTCGTTTTGTGCTGGAGCGTCTCATTCCACCGTTGCAGCAGAAGACGCAGCAATTTGCTTCCACGGCCCGTAAGTCCCTGGCACTCTCGCAGCAAAAAATGAAGTGTCTGGCAGCCCGGTCGCGTTTTGCTGCTTTGTAGTTTGCCAGCGTTTTCGCCACATTCATGATACGGCCCCGTGGGACCAGTGCAACACGGACGAGATCGCGTAGGCCTCATTGCCCTCTTGGAGACACTGCGAGCCGCTACGCAGCATCAAAGACAGCTCTTTGTAGCTCAAGGTGTGGCCATAAAAAATCCGCCTTGACGGTCAAATGACGGCACCTACTCATGTATCTCGTTGGCATTCAGGAAGTACAGTCGGGGAAAGCATTGGCGATGCATTGCGCCTGGTCGAGATTTTGGGAAATGACGAGACTTTGACTCGACGTGCGCCGCTTACCGCCTTGCTAATCGCGGACTGCACATGGCAACTGCAAATGTGCTTGAGGAATGATGCAACAACCGACAAAATCGAAACAAGCGGATAGGAGCACCAAGTGCTGCAAACAGTGATCGAAAGAGCTTAGATTCTCGACAGTCCGGTACATACAAACAATAATGACGCACACAACACAAACAACACACGATGACCCAGCGAAAAAGCAAACCAAAATCTTACACAACACAATGAGGGTCAACAGCACCTACGACGACATGATGCCGCACAACGCATCATCACTCAACACGACAACACAGTTCATTGGACGTTGATTGGTGCCACGCCTGACCAGCTTTACAAGACGACTTGGGACGAGCTGGATGACAAAGACTAGCACAGCACGATAGATAAAAAAAGGCACTGATGGACTAGGAGTCTATGCCTGAGAGGCATGGGTCACGCTAGGAACCAGCTCCGGTCCTGTCGTGGGCGACGCCGCCAGCGGTGTCGCCGTCACTGAGGGTCCACTGGAACCAGCAGTAGAGCCTGCAGGGGGGCTAGAGAGATACACTACGCTTTGGTAGCGGGGGAGATGCGTCGTCATCATGGGCACAAAGGGTGGACCCATGTTGGGCTGCTGTGGAGCGTAGCCTGAGATGGGTATGGGATAACCAGGCATGGTCGGTAGGTAGTGCACGGGACCTGGCCAAAGGTGGGCGGGACTTGCGCCTGGACCTGCACCCGTCATAGGACCGGCTGGTGTAGCGTACGGTGTATGCCACCCGTAGGCCATGCTTGATCCAGGCAGAGATTGGGGACCCGTGGTGGCCGCCACAGTACCGCTACCAGCAGCCCCCATTGCCATGCCTTGAGTTGGAGCGTAAGGCATGGCTGATGCCAGGAGCAAAGGTGGCTGACCACTGTAGTCCATAAAAGCCGGGTCTCGCGGGCCAGGGACTAGATATGTTCCAGCAGACGCCACCCCCGGCATGGTGCTCATTTTAGGAGGAGCATAGCCGTCTGTAGCCATGTAGCTTGTATATCCACCCTGTCGTTGGGTGTGTGCCATTTAAGTGAGTCATGGAGAACAATTTTGGCTGTATGAAAGCGGTCTGGCGATGGATGGAAAGCAGAAATGCTACAGACCTTGTCGAAGAAGGATTTGGACGTTGGCAGCGTTAACCCAGGCGAGCTAGGGTGTGACGATGAGGTCGTTGACATGCGGCGTTGTACGCTCCTATAGTCAACATGAGACCATAGCAGGCGGCGTCAACGGAGTCTTGCTTTCAGCCAGCGCTGCTAGACCCAAGATGTTTTTTTTTTCTGCATGTATGGCACATACTTTGAGTCTCGCGCTGGACTGATGTGCAATGGGCGAGCGGGATCCCAGCCGGGCTGGTTATTGAGCCTCAATGCCTTTTCCTTGGCAGCGTCGGTGCTAAAGCGCAGAAAGCCATACCCCCGAGTCCGGCCGTCGCCATGATACACGACTAACATGCCAATCGAGCAGTGATGACATCAGGAATGGCATGGTAAAGGAAAAAGCGTAATTGCCACACGGCTTACTTTTAGCGTGCTCAAAGCCTTCGCATTGCTCGCGAAAGAAGTTCTGCACCGATGAATGCGTGAAAGCATAACAGAACAACCAGATAAGCCAGGTGTTTGATAGCGTTGAGAATGGGGGAAGAATGTTGACAAGCAAGAGGTGGTGACGCACACAGAGCATTTCCTCCGAGTCATCTTGGATAAGGCCCTCAATGTGCAGCCGGGGAAACTTGGGGGTGTCGTCACCATCGGTGATGGACGGCCGCAAGAAGAAGACGCGACTCTGATCAGCAAAAGTAAGACAAGTGTGAGTTTTTGAAGGAATCAAGGCAGAATCAATCATAGGCATTGCGTGTGGTGGCGTGACCAACGGCGACCGTGGACAAGTCGCGGATAGCCCTTCATAGATCAGCAAGCGACGATTGAGCATGTCGAGCCTGGTGGAATGTAGAGATGCACTCACCGGAAGGCTCTGAGGGATGCACTTGCGACCAGAGAGTGCTTGACGCGCCTGTCGGGCCTCTTGTTCCGATGCAAAAGTGATGAATGCAAATCCTCGGCTTCTAAGTGATTGAAGGGAGACGAATGAGCATCGCGTGATCAACCCGAGTCGATTGGCATGAGTACGTGATGCATGGTATGAAGCAACGCACGAGCCATTGGATCGCTTGACAATGGCGAGTTTGATGGGAGTGTACCCGCACTCCTCAAAAGCTCGTTGCAAGAAGCCCTCGGTCCAACGCGGCTCAATCTATGACGTGCAATCCATGAGCGCACCACGGTGAAAAGGAGTGTATGCATGATTTGTGTGAGTGAGTTAGGCTTTGTTCCAATGAAGCGAGGGGGAAGTTGGAAAAGAAAGGAGGCAAGGCGTACATCTCCCATCCAAATAGTCGAGGCATCATTTTGGATCGGGCGCTGTGGTACTCGTGACAAGTGACTTGGGCTGGCAAAGACACGATGTTCAGAATGAACGTTGGCTGCAGTGGCGTCGGTCATGGCATCCGCTTCGTTACTGTCAGTTTTAAACTGAATGTGCAGAGCGGTTCGCAGCCCTGACTCGATCTGTTGAACCGATGCATCTGCCATCTCGTTTGGTGTTTGAGCTGCGGTAGAAGCTGAAGAGGTGCTGATTGTTGGTCCTGCAGAGGGTTTTTGGGCACTTGGGTCACCGGTGCGGGAGGCGCTGGTCGATTGAGCAGCCATACTGGCGAACCAATTGACTTGCGCAGTTGATCATGGGGTGGGGGATCTGTTCAGCGTGAAGCAAAGTTGTTTGTGAGTGCACAACTAACCCAAACAACGAGAGCCTATCGTGGTTTCATGGTCGGGCAAGAAGCCAAAAGAGTCACCGACTTGATGCGATGGGGATGAGCTTGATGAGATCCAAGACGACGGGCCCGTTTCCGGTGCAAGGTAACAGACAGGTTGATGTGAAGCGATTGATTGGGTGGCGTCTAAACGATAGCAGGACTGAAACGAGTGAGATGGATTGTACGCTAGTTGGGTGAGGAGGAGGGGGAGGAAGAGGAGGAAGAAGAAGAGGGGGAAGAGGGGGCTGGAGGAGGAGGAGGAAGATGCAGAGGGCCGACGGCCGGCGGAAGAGGAGCACCCGGGAGGGAAAGATGCAAGACGAAGTAGGAAATGCGACACGACGAGGGTTAAAATCAACCAAGTGGAAGAATCAAAAATTGGTGGAGAGGGATGAAACACGCAGAATCAGCGTAAAGTAATATGTGTGGATCCACACACACACACACACACACACACACACACGCAAAGACACACGCAGATCCACAAAAGGGCGACTACCATGATGTCAAGTCAAGTCAAGTCAAGAGGCCTTCAGGCGGCAAGGGAGTCAGGGGCAGTGGGTCAGGATGTGGGATGGGAAAGGCATTGGATTTGCCAAGCAACCAGAAAGAGGTGTTCCCATAGTTCATGCGGCTTATAGTCCACGGGGAAGGATCAAGAGAGACATGGTGTGGTCGAGAGCGCAGTGTATGCGTGTTGTTGTAAAAAAAGAGAAGTTGTATCGTGTTATGTAAGGTTCAAATGTGTGGGTGTTTACACAATTCAGTGTTTGTATGTTGGGGCCAAGGGCAAGCCGAGGGGTGTGGTGATGACACTTTGGGATGTCAACGTGGGCATTGGTGGGGATGGGTTGGCTTCTGGCTGCCGTCCGATGATCTGATGCACCAGAACCTCAATCCCAAAGAACATGCATAACCCAGATCTCAGGATAGCGAGGACAGGAGAAGGCAGAAGCAATCGAGTGTCAACGGGTCAACCGGTCATCCGCCAGTCAGTGGGAAAGAGTGGGATCATCACAAGGACAAGCAGTCATGGACAGGGGGGGAGGGGCGAGTTGTGTTAATGTGACGAGTAATCCGTGATTCAAACACGAAAGGTGCATGTGTGTGATCAAAGGCCAGGAGCCCCGCCGGCTTTGGTGAAGGCTGTGAGCTCCGTTGGTTTGGTGTATGTCAAAGGATTGCTGAGACTCATTGGATCGACCGCGGGACGTACCGTTGTCGTCCGAGAGTATCGTTTGCTGAGCGCGGGCCAAGGGCTGAGTGGAACCGACTGGGCAGCTGTGGGTGGATGTGGTGTGGGCACGGAAAGAAAGGCGTCGTGCGTTGCTTGAAGGAAGAACTCGGTGTTGCAGGTCGGAATGGTGACGGGGAAGTGACAAGGGAGGGGGGGGGTACGCGAGGCTGGGAGGTAAATGGCCTTGAGTGTATGCCGTTAAAAAAGTTTGTGATTCGCGGGCTGATTGGCCAGCATGAGCCGACTACTCTGCACGGATCCAATGGTTGCGCCAGGGACAGGCAATGGCAGCGAAAGTGGGGAGGATCGGCGACGTTGCAAAGGGCAGCTGGATCGGCTGAACCAACAGCAACAAGACCCCTTGTCCGAGGAAAGGACCACGAACGATCGAGATGGAGGAGTGACCGCCAAAGCGGTACCACGGCTCTCAAGAAAAGAGAGAAATGAGACTGAACCAGACACAGAGGCAGAGCAAGAAAAGGTGTGTGTGTGTGTGTGTGAGTGTGTGAGTGTGTGAGTGTGTGAGTGTGTGAGTGTGTGAGTGAGTGTGTGAGTGTATGTGTGTTTGTGTGTGTGTGTGTGTGTGTGTGTGTGTGTGTGTGTGTGGCCCGTGCCTAAGCGCCCGACTGGCTGAGAATTCAAAAAGGCTGGTGGAAAGGAAGGACGGGAAGGAAAAGACGCTTCAGGAGTGAATGAGGAGTCGAACAAGGGCAAGGTATCCTGTTTTTTTGTTCTTTTGTTCCTTTGGGAGCTTCTCTGGTTTTCCTGCTGTATGCTTGTTTCTTGACATGGGCATTCTATGCCGAAGCCGGTCGGTTGTGTCTGGTGTAGGGCCAGTCGCCGCAACGGCTCTGGTTTGGCTCGAGAACGATGAGGCTCTGGCATCTGGGCTAGTGTTCGGTGCCGGTCCAGGCAAGCGGCCGGCAGCGACACGACCGACACGACGAAATCGTTCTCCGCAGCGAGCGACCCGTGCCGTCGTTGTCGTTGACCGTGAAGCTGTTTTGGATGGGTTTTATCGGGGAGTTGTGGGTTCTGGTTGGGTGAGGCAGGACATCATCAGCAACGAGAAAACCAACCCCGAAATTGAGATGATAAATCTCTTGTCAAAGAGTGACAGGAGTAGGGATGGGGAGAGGGTGACGATGATGTAAAGGGAATCTTCAACCATTTCCCCTACAGCAGGAGCAGGAAGGAGCAGCCTGTGCACATGTACCATTCGTTGCCGTTTTCCTCCAAGTGCAAGGGATGATAATGATGATAATGATGGGTGTGGGTTGTGATGGGCTTGGGCGAGGGTGGAATGTGGGCTTTTACCTTTCAAGCACTTGAAACCACGACGGCCCGGGTGGATGGGTGCTTGGGTGACGAAACTCACGTTGAGGTGGAACAGATAGATGGTGTGGGTCTCGTGGGTATATCCTGCAGCAGGAGGATAAGTGTATCAAAATGATGACGGCCCTGCCGGCAGCCTGCCAGATTGCGTCCAGAAACTGTTTGACAGAGTTGTTATACAAGTACGTGTTCATGCGTTCTCAGTCGCCTCTGCTTGAGAATGGCAAGGCGGAGAAGAAGAAGTGCCGATCCGGCCTTGCAGTCCATCAACTTCGAACCGGCGCGGTACATGCGCGTGATCCACACGCCGTGCCAGGGTACAAAAATCAGAAAAACACGTGTCGGGTTGGGCGACATCGCGAGTCCAAGGCGCCAAACACATGCACGTCGTGTTTTGTCAGAGGGGGCATGTGTCCAAGTTTTAGTCAAAGGGAGGGGCTCTTGTCTTGTCGTGTGACTTTGCTGATTTACACTCGGCGCCGCCACACCCTTTGGCGCCTTGGCGTATCTTGGCTTAGAGCCTGATTGGCTGCATTGGATCGGAGAGTCATTCGATTCTTGGAGGAAACCCATAATGCCACACAACCCACCATTCAGAATTGATCTACGTGAGGTGACTGGCACACACACACACACACACACACACACACACGATTGACGCTGGCCCCGAGTAGGTTGTGATTTCATCGGAATTATTACCCCAGTTTTTGTCATTTCGCGTGGCCCATATCCTCGGCTGGGACGCTTTCTGCACCAGCAGTCTCATACTCGGAGCTGACCCCAAGGCGCCGGAGCCATGCCCGCACTGGCCTGGCCTGGAACGAGTGCAAATGACCAAATGCCACGATCTCCTCACACAACGACATGATGAGAATCAGCGAGCCAGACATGACCGACGAGGAGTTCGTTCTCGTGCCCCTCCTACCATTGCAGTGACTGCCAAAGTATTGTCAGACAATTTCATCTCAGCTACCAGATGGCATAAAACAGCGATTTAAGAAATCGTTGTAAACAACTGTTGTTACACTCGCAACGTTTTTTTTTTTTCTCCTCTCTCTCTCTCTCTCTCTCTTTGCCGCTCAACTGGTTCTGGCTCTGGGGGCCTCAGGTGCCGTCGTCGTCGTTTGAGTCGTGAGGTTGGTGCCCTGCTCTGCCCGCAACAACGACAACGTTGTGTGTGGCGCTGGCGAACGCATGTGTGATATTTGAGAGACAAGTTTTGTCCGAGGCAAAGCCCTTGTCTCTCGTCTCTCTCGTTTAGCTGACTACCAGCATGTCCTCAGCCTCGTGGTGGTGCACATGTCACTAGAAACAGGGTCGTGCCCCAGAATATCCAGCCGAACCTCTGCTTGACGCGCCGTGTCCCCCCACTTCACAGGACACCATGGCAGCCGAGCGGGTACGTCAACGACTCTGCCCACGCGATGACTCATTCGCACTCACCTGCCTGCTGTGTGCTGTCTTGAATCTCTTGGGACCTTTGTAGCGTCGATCCTCCTTTCTGTCCTCGGTGGCCGCTTCAACCAGCTCCTTTCTTTCTTCTTTCTTTCGTGCCAATGACGGCGATGATGACGCCCATGATGAGGTCTCAAGCCATCAACCAACCCAGCGTCCAAAGATCGCCACTGGTGCCTCGACCTCCTACCCCTCGGGGCCCGGTGCCTTCCGTCTTGACGCCGGACGAAATGACGCTCAGGTTTGTCATGCCCGTGTTGATTTGCTCGCGCTGACCGGTCAAGCTCATTCCGACTCACCACCACCCACGATCACAGGCTGCCGTGGCCGCCGATGCATTAGCAGCCCACGCGCGTCAGCTCGCATCTGCCCGTGCCGGTGTCGGTTCCTCCGTTCTGGGCACGAGTGGCCTCGATCACAGCCGCCTTGGATCACTACCTGGCTTCAATCAGAGCCACATGCAAGCACAAGCCACCCAACAGGTCGAATTGGACGTGTTGTCTTCCTCCTTCCGTTTCTCCTTTGCTTGTATCTCGACCTCGTGCTGCTCTCCTCTGCCTCTTCTGACATGGTGCTATGTAACAACATCCAAATCCATTAGAATCCACTCTTGAGCCGTCTCTCACCAACGCGCCCCCCCAGCCAGCCGTTGGTCAACAAGCAGGGCCTCGAGGTTTGTCAGACGCGCTGCATCCCCGCCTCGGTTCCACACGAGGCCCAACGCACCATTGGCTCTTTGCTGTCAGCTCAACCCCATGCAACATGCACCATCCATCACCAGGCTCAAGTCGGGCAAAAGCGCGTACATGCTGCCGCCAATGCTGCTCCAGTAGCCCGGGCCACTAATCTTCAGAGCTTGGCCGATC